AATCGGGAAAGCATTTGTGCACTATGTTTTCTGGATTTTATTTAAACTTAGTTATTAATGATGCAAGCCTAGGTAAAGTAAATGACACTCAGGCAATACTGAAAGGACACATGTCATATTTAACAATTTGTTCCTCCTTTCATTTATTAATTTCTTCAATATTGTACGTACTTATTACCTATTACTTATCTATTTATTTGTCTACGTAAGAGATTTTTTAATAGCATTTTTAGGTCATTTCATGCAATACAGGTAATTTTGCCTTCTTGTTTTATAAATTAAAAATATTTGCATGTGTGAGATATCATACATATATATATATTTTTTTAAATGAAGACAGATAAATATCCAAGTTTGAAAATGGGTAAATTCTGTAACACTGCTACTACTTTACATTGTGTTTTAGGTGGTGAACAAAGAAATTAGAAAAGGCAAAGCAATTAGGGATAGAAGAATGACACACATGCACTCCGAGTGTAGCTCAGTAGCAAGGTGTGTACTGAACATGTGAGAGACCCTGGGTTCACTCTGTAGCACAAAAACATAAATGACATCTTAACTTATAGGTAATATAATTTTATATCTGAAAACCACAAGAAAAAATTCAATGAAAAACCTAACATATGCAGGAGCTATGGATGAATCGAGAGCGGGCCTGCTGAGAGCATAGAACAGGGCACTGTGGATCCTGATTCCGACGGTCATTCCTATAAATCCACACATGGTTAAACGTGACAAAATACATAAAATGTTACACCGACGGAAAGACGAAATCAATTTTATATAATGACCTTAAATAAAATAGACTGCTACAATCAAAGGGCGGTCAGAAAAAATCGATAAATGCGATCTATGGAATAAAACAATCAAGCTTTTACGTAGTGAAAATAGCATAAGCAAGTAGAAATCGGGAAAGCATTTGGAACATACGCTATAGGAAAAATGAGCATATGAAGTGCTTTAAAAATCTGACAAATACCCTGTAGAAAAATGGATGAAATTAAGGAATACGGTACACGTAAAAAGAAATACAAATGAACTTTATATACAACAACGGTATTCAATCTCACTAATAAAGGAAATTCAATTTCAAATTACATGGAACTATTATTTCTGATTCATTAGATTGGCAAAAAAAACAAACATAAATTTGAGTAAATATCCAGTGTTCCAAGATTTTGGGGTTAGGTGTTTTTGTGCATTGCTGGGTGGAATGCAAAATGTATGCTCCCAGAGAGGGATATTTGGAAATATGTAGAAAAACAGCATATTCCTTACCCTTTGATTCAGTAATCGCACTCCAAGGAGTCATCTTGGAACATATACCCCCATAGATACGAAGAAAAATGTTTTAGTTTTTATGATAGCAAAATGCTGGTCAAAATGTCAGAATCAACATCCCTACGATAGAATATTATGTAGTTGTAGAGAGACATGAAGAAGACAACAGTATGCTAATGGGAAGTGATAGGATACATCGTTAACAGGAAAACAGAGGTATACAGAAATGTGTTATGTTAAATAGTTTTTAAAAGGGAGGATCATATGTATATTGATTCATACTTTCAAAAATAAACTTCAAAAGATAAACAACTTCAAAATAATGATTATTTCTAAAGGGTGTAATGACAAGGTCAGAAAACAAGTTTAAGGAGCCCATACTTGAACTGCCAGCTGTAACATGGTTTTCCTCCTCAAATATGACTGATTTACATGGGGATGTGTACTGTATCGATAATTACCCAGTTCATGGATTTCTGTTTTTACCCAAGCTCATGAGAATGTGTAAGAAAGATTACATTAAGAAAGGGAAGTAAAAATGCAGCCTTTTCTTTGTACATTTAAATGTTGTTTATATAATTTTGCAGGAACTAGTCCCAAGTTCATCAATATTTGTAAGGAAAAGCTATTCTGTTACAAAGTTACTGAGGCACTGAAGTGCTCCTATCAAATTTTCTTGAAAGAATACAAATACTTCTTTTGTGTCAGTATTTTGATTTTCCTTTTCTTCATAAAAGCAATAAAATGTTGAAAATGCCCTACTGCATCTTTTCTCCCATTCTCCCTAAGATCTACTTTCAGTATAATAAGTAGTAGAAAAGATTTGTACCCATCAGCACAGAATAAAGAGATTTAGAAATAAGATAAGAAGTTATAGCTCACCACTCCCTTTTCCCCTTTATACTTTTTAATTATTTTTCTCATTCTCAAAATGGCCAGTTTCAAAAGCAATCATAATAATTATTTGTGTTCATCATTTTCTTAAGGTTTTATATTAATACAGAATACTTTTCAGCACTACTTACAAAATAGTCTGAGTTTACTTTTTATATGTACATCATTGACAAAAAAGAAGACTGTAGGTAAATATTATTATTATGTTTTTTAAAGGTGTGAAGAACAACTTTACATTTTTATAGCATTTTTCGCAACTGTATCCAGAGGTACTTCTCAGGAAGTTGCAACAACTTTTCTTTTCTTTTCTTTTTCCTCATTGAGTTTGTTGGTACATTTTAGGTACACAGTACAGTTACATTCATCATTGGGACCTTGTACCTTTACACGACAGGTCTTGGTTCTCATTTTTTCCCCTTGTCCCTGCCCTCCCTTCACCTTCTCCTCCCCTCCCCATTTACAAACACTTCATTTCCATTTCTTCTTTTTTAAAAAATTTCAAAAAGGAAACAAAGGTATAGAAACAAAGGTATAGAGTTCGAATACACTCAAATTAAAATCAACTCAAAATTGAAAAGTTCAAAATACATGATTTATATAATGAGTTTCTATGTTTAAATCAAACTTTTCCAGCTCAGTGATTCCGCTGTCTGCCTCGAAGGGCAAGGACCCAAGTTTCATCCCCGTACAAAATAAATAAATAAATAAATAATCAAACTTTTCCTCTGGCTGCATGAATTTTATTTTGTAATGATACTACTGTTAAGCTATTTTTCTTCCTTAGTTAACACAGTCATTAGTGTAAACTTTTCCACTGGATCTTGCTGCTTGTTATGAAAAATTGATTAACTATACAATTTTCTAGACTGATATATTGTCCTCTATGCCTAAAACTTTTTTTAAGACTCAAGAGAAGCTTATCCTATTTTAAAATAAAAGGCAAGTTACTCTAAATATTTAGCATAAGATATAAATATACTTTAATATAGTTTTTCCATGTCATCAGAGAGCTGCACTTTACAAGAAACTGTGTATAAATATTAATCTGTAACTATTCAAAAGACGGAGGGAGTTTTGAAATCAAATTTTAAAAAGAAAATCTCGAGTCCTGCTGAAATTCATTGGAACTATGCATAATTATCTACTACTTCTTCTTAAAAGACTAACATTATATAATAAAGTAAAATTTGTGTTGTATAAATGAAATTGGATTCTCCTTATCTTAAATATAAAGCTAGCTCATATTTGCGAAATGCTTTTTGAATATTTCAGATATTTGGTTCCTTGCCAACTGGGGACTATTAATTCTACCTGGCTCCACCTGAATAATTCCTCCCATTGGAATGGGGAGAGGGGACGGGGCAGGGAGGCGCAGGGAAGAGGAAGGGGAAGAGAGTGCCCTGCGCAGGGCATCCAGTCTCTCGAAATTATTTCAGATATTGAGTAAGATTCAGACTGGAGGTATTTCTTAAGACCTAAGAAAACGTCCAGCTCCACGGTTAATATTTTATATTTTCCGAGAATGACTATTAATAAAATTTGCCATGTTTTGTAAAAGGCTTGTTATAAAATAATACATCATAGGTGATAGACTAAGTTCCGAGGTTCAGGGTGGAAAAAAAGGCTCGTAAGGTGGTATTTATTTCTGTTTCTATTTTCATTCAACTCATTCACTCAGATTTATTGAGCAAGTAAAGTCCATCTGCTGATGTAGTCTTCTTCCTGCCTTAAGGATCACAGACGCAGACTCAAGACCGTAAACTATAAAAGGAAAGCTATAAGCCTCTGCGGTGGGGGTGCGCAGGAGGCTCTTCCTGCGGAAACAGACTGGAGCTAGCGGGAGTAATCAGCAGAGCGAGCCGCACTGACGTGGCAGTCGGGGGACCGGCGCGTACAGAAATCCGCAGAAACGGATTTGGGAAAACGGCAAGGCCCTCAGGATGCAGGAGCACAGCACGCTCTGCGATGGGCTGTCCCAGCACGGCTCAGTATTTTGACTCGTATCTTTAAAATGTAAGGTCTACGCGAGGATAACCATGAAATAATACTGGTGCATTTTAGCCAGCACTTTTTTCTTTGTTTTAAATGTCTGTTGCTTTTAGGCGTGGCGCGCATTTTCGGACGTCGCGGGCCACCTAGCTCTACTGCAATCTGTTCGTACATGCAACAGCTGTCTGAATCCTGAAGTGAGGCCATTTGCCTCTTTCACCAGTGAACCACGGTACTCGATTTAGTACTTTAAGTAGCTCCCAGACAAACTGCCGGAGAGAGGAAAAAAACAAAAACAAACAAACAAACAAAAAAAACCCGTTTTAAGTAACCCATATCAGCAGTTTTAAGTAGCTCCCAGACAAACTGCCGGAGAGAGGAAAAAAACAAAAACAAACAAACAAACAAACAAAAAAACCCGTTTTAAGTAACCCAGATCAGCAACTAGGGAAGATCCGGCGTCCCGGGGCGGAGGAAAGGGCGGGGCGCATGCGCGGCCACGCCCCGTGTACGTTTTGCATTACCAAGGTTACGGGGAAAGGCGTCACCCGGAAGACAAACCCAGTGAAATACATGGGTGTCCAGACTCACGGTGTGGGCTTTTCCCTCTAGCTTCTCAGATAGTTGAGCAAAGGAAAGCATGCCATGAATTGAATGTGACACAGTATGATGAACGTCTGTCCAGAGGTCGGAAAATTCAAAAGGAGGTTGGAAAATCAGCTTAAATGAGCACAAATGCTATGGCGCGCCTTCCCTGCACTGATGAGGTACAGAATTCGTTCACCTCATCTGGAGGATGACAGACTTGGTCAGGACTCTGATGGTCGGAAAATTCAAAAGGAGGTTGGAAAATCAGCTTAAATGAGCACAAATGCTATGGCGCGCCTTCCCTGCACTGATGAGGTACAGAATTCGTTCACCTCATCTGGAGGACGACAGACTTGGTCCCAGGACTCTGAGAGCGAACTGGACACTGAAGATCAGACTACAAGCTTGGACGAACAAGACGAACAGTCTGAGCTTTCAGACTCCAAAAATAATGAAATGAAGTTGAGTAAAAAATGGATCAACTACCTCAAAGGCAAAAAAACTAACTCTGGACGATACCAACCACACAATAAACTTCAAGCAGAAGTCACTCGGGTATCCAATGAAGAACTCCATGCCTGTCAGTCCTTTTGCACTATTAAGATAAACTTGATCCATCACAGAATGAACTTGAAGGAGAGGAGCAGCAGGCATAAAAAACAGCAGTTTAGATTGAATGCAGAGGTGTCAGAGATAGATGCCTTAAATTGTACTGTCCCGGATGAACTTTTGAACAGAATCTATTTTAAAAACACAACGATGACACTAAAACAAATGGAAGCAGCTAAGCAACACATTTTGTCTCAGTGTCCTAGTTGTAATAAGAAAAGAGCAGAGCTGGCCCAATCTGCCTTCTTGAGGCAAAAGAAGACTTTACTCGAGTCACTTCTACTGGAAGAGAAAATCGACGAACATCTCCATACTACAGATTTTCTCACCCGTGTGGGCGAAGCACGACAGGGCCTTCCCAGGCTCTTGGATGATCCCAGAATAATTTGGAAAAGACTGATTGAGAAAGCTCAAATCCAATACGGTGGCTTTGAAAGATAAGATACAAAGGAGATGTAGCCACTTACCAAGCAAACAGGAGATGGTAATTGATGATAATATGTAATGTGGGTAGATGTTCCTGTTGTGTATTTGGGTAATTACCATTATTTTTACAGGCATTTGAATACTGATGTGAAACTTTATCATGTTTCTTTCACAGATTTGAGGGCCAAAAACTTTCCTGCATGTACTTTTTTAGAGTATAGAAGATGATGTATTTAGAATGGTTACAACGTTTTTTCAATGATCCAGGAGAGAGGTATTGGTGGTTGGGACGACTGACAGTAAACAGAAAGATGAGTAGTGATGTAAAAGATGCTTAGGAAGTAAAAATGAACTTTTTGGTGATGAAATGACTATAGAAGTTTAATAAAAGGAATGTTTAAAATGTTAGTACAGTTCTCACTTGTGTACCTAGGTGAATGATGGTTTCATTAAGATAGGAAAACTAGAAGGTTCATAAAACTATATGTAATAGAAGTGATCAGTACCACAAGAATGGGAGATCTTTTCAGGTCAACATAACATAGAGAACACATGATGAATTAATCATGTGTTGGACACTGTTGATCTTAGTAATTGCCATGATAGAAATGGGCTAGAATGAGTAGATTGAGGAGTAAATGAATAAAGAAAAAAAATAATATGCATGTGGACTATTCTTTTTTTTTTCGTTTTGGTTTTTTGAGACAGGGTCTCACTATGTGGTTGAGACTGACCTGGAACTCATTATGTAGCCCAGGCTGGTCTTGAACTCACAGCGATCCTCCTGCCTCAGCTTCCCCAGTGCTGGGATTACAGGCGTGTGCCACCACGCCTGACTAGACTGTTCTTTTGAAATGTAGTGGGAAATAGAGTTGAAGCTGGAAGTAGATAAATATTTTATGAAACTTCTATTATTAATTTCCATTCTGAGGAAAGATTGCTATGCTATTTAAAAAAAACACGTAGGAAAAAATATTGCATGGCATTTTGAGAAATTAATATTTAGTATTTACTGTCTCTATAAAAATACAAATCCTAGAATTAGTGATATTTCCTAGAGGTCATTTTTTCTACATGTTTAACACCTAAACTATTATTATGGAAAAATTTTGTTTGCATAATCAGTGCAAGATTCTTTGTATACTAATCCAGTTTTGCTCTTTGAACTTCACATATATAAAGATGCTCTTTTCACGTAATATTTAACATAATTCCTTTCAGTAAGTCATTTCTAAATAAAACAAAAAAATCATTACCATTTGTATACTAATTTTAAAAATTTGAACTGCACATTATGTCACACATTATTTTTGACTTCTCAATATATTCATATTTACATAAAATGCTGAATAATTTTCTATTTAAAATTTCCCCATTGGTGATCATGCTCCACTCTTTAAGTCAACCCACCTAGAAATTTTAGAATCATCTTTTGTTCCTCTTTAAAAACAATTAAATCAACCCCAAGTTATTTTCAGCAAGACTTTCAGATCGGCCCTTTCAGCAACTTCTGACCATGGCTGTCTTTCATCTTAACCACTCTCCTCACGTCTGTCCCCTGCCTCTTCCGTCTTGTCTCCTTCGTTCTCCAAGCATTCGTAAGTTATTTTTCTAACACAAAAATCTGTTCAAGTTATTCTGTTAATTTTGAATAACTCTAAGTGGTTATCTCTGCTGAAGAAATAGTTTGAGCTAATTAATGCCACAGAGAGTTTTTTTGATATTTGGGCCAAACGTACTTTCCTAATCTCTTCTTTTGTTTATATTCAAGTCTCTCTGTAGAACTTGCAATTCCTTGAACTCTCTTGTTCCTGGTTTATGTGTGAACATCTGTTTAACTGAAATTCTCTCCCCCCTTTTTTTTTTAGCTGTTGTACTCATCTTCACTTATTTAGATTTTAAATTTTTAAAATTGTTACCACATATTACATGAAATCCAAAAATCAAAAGGATATGAAAAGGTTTACTATGCAACATCTCATCTACCACTAACCATGCAATCACATTCTGCCTATCCTAAGTTGTTAAGTTCTTGCCTTGTCAGGATTAACTTTTGGCTTTCTGGATAATGGCAGAGTCAGGCATCCAGGAATACAGCAGAGGTGGAGGAAAATTCAGGAAATCAGTGTGTGACTATTTACCAACCAGTCCAGAACTATTTCTACACTTTAAGCAGTGAACTTAGCCTATAGGGGCTGACTATTCATGTTATCTATGTGAGTCTCATATTCTTCAGTGATTTTTTTTTATACAAATACAAACACCAAAGATACTCTACTATGTATTCTCGTTATGGGTTGTATCAGTGGCCCTGAAAGGGCTGTGTGATAAATGCTTTGCTGCCAGGCTGTGGCACAATTTAGAGGTGACAGAACATCGAAAATGTGGGTCCTAGTGGAAGGAAGTTAGATCGCTGGTGGCATAACCTTGAAGGGGATATTAGGACACCAGTTCTTTTGTCTTTGCTTCATAACCATGGAGGGAGCAACTTCCTCCACTTTGTGATTCTATCATGATGTATCACTACAGGCCCAAAAGTGAGAAGGCTCATCACCCATGGACAGAAACCTGCAAAACTGTGGAGCAAAGCAGAACCTTCCTCTTTTAAAAATTGATTTATCCTGGGTATTTTGTCACAGTGACAGAGAGATAACAGAACTGTCTTTTACGCTTTGCTGTTTCTATGCTGATATGTATGTCTGTATATCTACATTTTTACATAGGTATAAACCAAAAATTTGCCATTGTGACATTTTATTAATAGGACATTCAAATGTGTGACTGCATAACCACTATTTATGAAATGTTCATCACCTGGAACAGAACTCATTAAACATTTATTCCTCATTCTCCACTCCCCCTACTTCCTGGTAACTTTGAATATACTTTTGGTTTCTACGAATTTGCCTGTTCTAGATATTTCACATGAGTGTAATTCTATCATATTTTCTTTTCTATTTTCTGGCTTTATTTTATTGCTTACTGTTTTCAGGATTCGTCCATGTTGTAGTATGTATAAGATCCTCATTCATTTTCTTTGTCTAAATAATATTCAATTATATGTGTATTGTACATGAACTTTTGCCACTTCATTTGCTGATGGATACTCGGGTTGTTTCTACTTTTTGATGAGGGTGACTAATGCTGTTGTGAAAAATGGCATAAAAGCATCTGTCTTGCCACCTGTTTCCTATTCTTCTGGGTCTATACCTAGAAGCAGAACTTCTGGATCTCATGCTAATTCTATGTTTAATTTTTTGAGGTACTGCCAAACTGTTTTCACAGCCGTTACATTTCACATTTTTGCAATGATGTGTAAGGTTCTAATTTCTTCACTTCCTTTCCAACACTTTTTAGTTTCCATTTATAAAAATCCATTGCCAACCCACTAGGTGTGAAGGGTATCTCACTGTGCCTTTGGTTCTCATTTTCGAGTGACCAATGATGCTGAGCATCTTTTCATGTCTCAATGGCCATTTATGCATCCCCTTGAAAGTTCTTTGCCCATTTCAAATTGGGTTGCTTATCTATTTGGTTGACAGATAGGAGCTACTTCTATACTATTGATATTAAAATCTTACCGAATATAGCATTTTCAAGTATTTTCTACCATTCCATGAGTTATTTTTTCAGTTTTGAGACTTTTGACACACAAAAAATTTTAATTTGACAGGTCTTGGTTCTCCTTTTTTCCCCTTGTCCCTGCCCTCCCTTCACCCCTCCTTCCCTCCCCATTATCTTTCTATTCTTTTTTTTAAGCCTATGCTTTTGGTGTCATTGTCAGATCTAAGATCATGTAGTTTTGCACTACATTTTCTTCTAAGAATATTATAGTTTTGTATCTTATGGTTAGGTCTACTATGGTTTGAATGTGTCCTTGAAAGTAGAAAACCTCAAGTCCATATTTTCATGTTTGGGAAATGGAGTATTTGGAAGTCAATTAGAATTGGGTGAGGCCTTGAGAGTAGGGTCCCACAAAGCCGGACGTGGTGGCTCACGCTTGTAATCCCAGCACTGGAGAGGCTGAGGCAGGAGGATCGCTGTGAGTTCGAGACCAGCCTGGGCTACATAGTGAGTTCCAGGTCAGTCTCAACTATGTAGTGAAACCCTGTCTCAAAAAACAAAACAAAACAAAACAAAACAAAAGATTAGGGTCCCACAATGTCACTGGTGGCTGTGTCAGAAGGGCTAGAAAGTGAGCTGTGTCCACCATGTAAGCCCCTCTACCACCTTACGATATAGCAAAAGGCCCTCACCAAATGTTAATAAGATCTTGTGCCATGCTCATGGTCTTCCTGGCCTCCAGAACTGTAAGCTTCTGGTCTTTTTGTACCGATTCTCAGATATTGTATCACAACAATAGGAAACAAGTTAAGACTTGTCTAACAAATTTTGAGTTGTGTTTTGTTGATGGTTAAATGGTACAGTTTGATTCTTTCCCAAACAGAGTATATAATTTTTTCTGCATCCATTTGGCCGAGACTGTTCTTTCTGTATCGAATGGCCTTGGTACTCTTGTTGGAAAGCAGTTGGTTACAAATGGAGGTTTTCATGTGTGGACTCTAAATCCCATTCCATTGGCATTTATAAATATCATTTTGTAAGCACCATACTGTTTTGATTACTATGCTTTGAGTTACTCTTGAAAGCAGGAAGTATAAAATTTTCATTTTCATTCTTCAAAATTTTGAGATCCTAAAGTGACATATCTCCACTTTTAATCTTCTTTTTCAACATTGTTTTGGTTATTTGAGGTTCCTTGAGATTCCACTTAAATTTTAGATTGTGTTTTTCTACTTCTGAAAAATATTCATTGCACATTTGATAGAAACTCTATTGTCTATATATTATTTGGGGTATTATGGATAGATTAATAATATTAAATACTTAAAACCATGTACATGCATACTTTTTATTTATCTGTGTTTTAATTCTTTTTTTTTAAAAAGAATAAAAGAAATTGGAAACAGGGTGCTAGAAGTTATGAAATGAAGAGAATACTGATGGAGGCAGTCCTACAAAAGGGATGAGAGCATCAGCATAGAACAAACCATCAGCCCTGGGAAGGAAAAGAGATCTTCTTTCTTCATTGTAAAAATTAAGAATTTATAAAAATAAGATGATAGTCTGATCTTAGGAGACCAGCCTTCAGTCTTTCACTTTAAGAAGGATAGCAATGGATTTTTCCATACATGGCATTTTCATACTGAGAAAGTTCTCTTCAGTCTTAGTGTATTTTATGTCGTTTTTTATTTATTTATTTATTTATTTATTTATTTATTTATTTATTTATTTATTGGTACCAGAGATCAAAGTCAGGACCTTAAGTTTGCCAGATAGGAACCAGCACCACTGAGCTAAATCCCCAGCCCCAGGATGCTGTTTTTTATATCACTTTGAATTTTGTCAAAGGTATTTTTCTGTATCAGTTGAGAGATTTGTATGTTTTCTGTGCTAATTAATCCAACAAGAAAGTCCCCTTCTTTCAGTTTATCTCTTAACTCTTAAATACTCAGTAAACAAAGTTAAAGGCTTTGGCTTCAATACTTTGTGATAGTAATATAAATTTACAAACACTTGTCTTAATTAATATGCTATTTGACTGTGTGCAACTCAGATGAACAGACTTCATCTTACATTATGTCAAAAT